AAAAAAAAATTTTTTATTTACTTTCCTTAATCATATCTTTAAGGGGGAAAAACATTCATTCAATTTTATGCAATAGTTCCTGAGAAAAAAATGATTGAAAATATGCTTTTTTTGTGCGTTCACAGTGAAATGCCCCCTTAAAAGCTAAAGTACGAGATATAATGGATACACATATGTGTATTTACTTATTTAATTATTTAGTTACGGATGTAACTTAATCGCATGTTGCTTTGTGTATTCTTTAAGATTTTACATATTAATGTTAATTGTTTAGTAGAAATGGATGTCTGAGAATCGTGTATGGCAATGTGAAAGTATTAGCTACACGTGACCGTGTGAACGATTGGGAATTAAGATAAGTAGCACGAGAATCAGCAAGCAAGTTCCCGTGCATTGTACTACGTGGATCTCGAGGGAGTTCGCTTCACTTCGTTGCACGAGTAACCTAGTATATACTTATGACGAACGTAAGATGGTGAGGTTAGGATGTGTTTACTTGTCAGATTTCTCGAAACAAGGGATGAAATACGAAAACAGTTTAAATATAACAGGAATGTGAACACGGAAGGTGTACGGTCATAAAAAGAAATCATGTTTTTCCCTATCGGATGGCCGCGGGTTCTGAATACGACAGAACCGGAGAAGATAACAGCAGTTGTTTGCAACAGGGACAAGATACTTTTTGCTGTCTTGACGACGGATTCTCTTACCATCTGGTATTGCAAGGCATGTATTACACACACAACATTATAATTTCGCGATTAATATGTTGTAAACTATAATTATGATCTTCAACAACGTTAAAAATATTTACTCGTGTTTATGAATCATTGATGCAACATATAAAAATCATTTTTAGTTGTCTGTTTTACTTTGTTTATAGAGTAACTTTGTAATGGAACTGTTTTCTTATGATTTTGGTATTAAAATTTGCGTGTCCCTACTTTTCATGTACAATCAGATCTATAATTTAAACCTCATCAAGTCAAGAGCACTTAAATCTGTGAATTGAAATTTCGTTAATTTTTCTTCTTAAATACTTGATAATTTAAAAAGTAAATAGAATCTAACTTGAAGTTGCACAGAACAGCCACCTGGCTTCTACAATCTTTATAACTCTATACAATTCAAACATTAAATGTATTGCTGTTAAAATGAGCTTGACGATAACTAAGCTTTTCAACAACTCGATTCAATAAATCTGAGAAAATCAAGATTACCAAAACCATTAATTATATTGTGTCCTTTTTATCGTCATTTGTTATTGATAACCACCTTTGGACAATAGAAGTCACTTTAAATTCCAATATAATAAGAGAAATATTGAACTTTCGATCTTAATCAACTTATAGTTATAATTTCATTTGTTTTTCTTAGACATCTATGTAATATTTACCAAGACTCTATAATTTAAAGTATTGTTCAGTTCTCATCAGTTTTGATTTATCGATGTTTAACACTTCCTGATTTGTAATATGTGACTAATTATTATGTAATTTAATTTAATAAAAAACACTTAATTCTAGCCATGTGTGCCCATAATATTTATCAGAAGAACCGCAGATTCTTTACGGAAACACGGTGATAATATTCTGGTACAATGGAGACCAGACTCCAGTATGCTGGTCATAGCGGTATTAAAAGTTTTATGATTAAATTCTAGTACAGAAGATGACAGGTTATTATAATTTAAACCTTTTCAGACATCGGATAGCTATCTTTTATTTTATCGTCTATCGGATACTAGTCCAGAAGGAAGAGGTCTTTATGAGCAAAGAGACTCTCCAGTTACCAGTTTAAAAAGAGACAGCGCTGAACTTTTTATCAAAGAAGTTATTCCTTCCTTGGTCTTGACATTTGTAAGTAAACATACAAATATATCCTCTACATAAAAATAATGTTGACTGCATATATTATATATTCCACGATTTGTTTGAAAATGTGTTTTCATTTTAGGAAAAATCTGCTTGGATAGATGGTGGTATCAGTTCATTAGTTTGTATACGTGATGAACTTATGGTAGCTACAAAGACCAGCCATATAATACGTCATAAATGGGATGGTACTGTAAACCGAGATTACTCTCTCGATTTAAGAAGAATACCATTTAGCATAGATCAACAAATATCTACTGTAGCCATACCTCTTACTGAAAACAATGTATATGTTACCGATATTGAATACTCTCCTTTAGTTGGTGGATTTGCAATTGTTCTTAATACAGGCAAAGGAGCATTTCTTACAGCACAGTCGCTGAAATTTGATCCTAATGTATGTCAATTAATTTTTAAACGAATAGGTAAGAAATGTGACAATAATATTATTTTTTAGCAAGTACAAGGAATTTGGGCTAGAGATGTCGATGATGCTACTTGTGCAGCTGTAAATCATAAATATCGTCTTATTGCAATTGGAAGGCAAAAGTATATCTTTAAATTTTTCTGATAATTATACTAAAACGCATGTATGTATTTATACAAACTTATTATATACATTCTGTTATTAGTTCCGAAGGTGTAGTATATTATGTTGATGAAACAACAGGGGGACTAGAAATGTCCCATACCTTAAGCTTATCCTCAAAAGATTACCCGGGGAGACCAGGTCGTGTAAGGTGTTTAAGGTGGACTCCTGATAGTTGTGCCATCGCATTAGCTTGGGAAGGCGGTGGCCTAGCAGTATGGAGTACGTTTGGTGCTTTGTTGCTTTGTAGCTTAAAATGGGATTATGGTTTAAGAGTAGACTTGAACCATGATAATCCTTTACACATCCACACAATGGTTAGTATATTCATTAATTTTAGCTATTAGTATTAATTTTATTTTCTTATTTATGTACAATTGTTAAAATTGATGAACTCATCTTTTATATATCGTAGGAGTGGTCTGCAGAAGGTTATCAGCTTTGGATGTTAAGAGAATCTCCAGGTCCTTCCTTAACCGAAGAAAATGGAAATGAAGTAGCTAATTTAAGGCGTTCTTTGATACAGTTAGATTTTGTAAAAAGTCCCTTGACGATCAATCCTTGCATGGTAATGTTGAAAACAAATACTTACCTAAACAAATATAATTTTTTACAAATGGTATTTACCGTTGACAATGTCTTAATATGTAGGGTCATCATGGACATTTATATTTACAAGGTGAAGATAGATTGTATTTAAACCTCGGTGGTGGAGTTTCTACAAACACGTCAACTTTTCATATTAGTAGTGAAATTCCTAATGATTCTATAACGCAAACACTTGCGGGTTGTAAGCAATGGCTAGTTGTTCCTATCCCTACTGCATATAGCGGCTCCAATTGGCCAATAAGAGTATGTAAATGCATATACTCCCAATAAAAAGCAAAATTATGTTTTTAAATAATTATCTTTTCTCAGTACACTGCTATCGATAACGAAGGTATGAGCATAGCTGTAGCTGGACGGACAGGGTTAGCTCACTATTCTTTACCTACGCGTAAATGGAAACTTTTTGGTAATGAAACTCAAGAACGCGATTTTATCGTAACTGGAGGTTTATTATGGCATCAAGGTTTTTTAATAGCTAGTAGTTATTCGATATTAGACGATAAGGATGAAGTTAGAATATACCCACGCGATACGCGTTTGGACAACAATTATGTTAGAACTGTTAGAATGCCATCACAGGTGTTATTACTCAATACACTAAAAGATAGACTCTTGACGTTTTGTGCAAATGCTCAGATTAGCATTTATGACATGGTACTGGAAAGCAATAATGGTAGGTAACCAAAAAACTTGATCAGTTGTATACATCAAATTCGTATTAAAAACATTGATGTTTCAGATGCAGGAAGTATAGAATTAATAAGATTGCAGACTGTAGATGTTAGTGGACTTTGTGTTCATCCTGCTTGTGTTGTAAGTGCCACTTTAACTACTATACGTGCAGAAACGGCCGGAAGTCATCCACACCCTGAAAGTCTTTTGTTGAATGTATCTGGACGTCTTCTTATGGTCCAAAGGGAACATTGTACTGATAACGCAGAAGTTGTATGTGAATAATGCATTTACAATCAATATAATCACTAACTTATTTCTAATATTTGTGTACATCTTATAGCTGTATACGTGTAGTGCTCCAACAGTATTAGCTTCTTACGTAGAAAATGTCTGGGTACCATGGAGATCAAGGAGAGATAAACCCCACTTAACAGAAGCACTGTGGTTATTTTGTGGTGCACATGGGATGCGTGTTTGGCTTCCTTTGTTTCCAAGAAATCACCAAGAAAAGGCACACACATTTATGAGCAAAAGGATAATGTTACCTTTTCACTTACGTATATATCCTTTGGCTATACTCTTCGAAGATGCTATTTTATTAGGAGCAGAAAATGATACAGTACTGTTTACTTCGGATACAAATTCGCCATTTTCATTACCTTTCAGTTTATTGGAGCTTACAGTATGTATATTACCGGCAGTATACAGCAAACTTCTGTATAACGCGCTAAATAAATTATGACGAGTTTTTTCATATAACGCGATTCTCGTATATAATAAAATGCGGGAATTCTTTGTTTTTTCTTTTTTTCTTGTATAATACAATTTCATACAACACGTTACGTATTATCCGTGTTATACACGAGTCTACTGTACTTTCTATAAGTGAATTCAAAATTATTACATGTTATTTTAATTTCAGAGTCAAGTTTATCTTCACCAAATATTACGACAACTAATACACCGCAATCTGGGGTATCATGCTTGGGAAATTGCTCGTTCGTGTTCTTCACTACCATACTTCCCACATTCGTTAGAGCTTTTACTTCACGAAGTACTAGAAGAAGAAGCAACCAGCAAGGAACCAATCCCAGATGCTCAGCTACCCTCTGTAGTGGAATTCATTCGAGAATTTCCAGGTGTATGGGCTAGAGCAGTTGTACAGTGTGCTAGAAAAACGGAAATAGCACTTTGGCCTTATTTATTCTCTGTTGCTGGTCCCCCAAAGAAGCTATTGCAAGATTGTCTGCAACGCCAGCAACTCGATACTGCTGCTAGCTACTTAATAATTTTACAAAACCTAGAACCTTCTACCGTTAGCCGGCAACATGCTACATTATTATTAGATGCTGCTTTAGAACAGGGAAGATGGGAACTTTCAAAAGATCTCGTTCGGTTTCTCAGAGCGATTGGTAAAGTATTAAAAAAAAACACGTCAAATGTAGGTATTTTATCTTCATTATTTTCATGGTTACGTTGTCTTTTTCACAGATCCAAATGACGTGGAATCTCCACGAACTTCGTGGGGAGGAACGTCAAAATTGGGAGTACCTCCGCAAACCTCCTCACCGCCTCTTTCACCCCACGAAGATGATTTATCCCTAGTATTAGGAACCATGCAAGTTTCGAGAAGTCGAAGTTATAGTACTACAGTAACACCGAAAGTACAATCAGACTCAGCCAAAGATATAGCTCCATCTTCAATGTTGGAAAAAACTAGAAATGTAGTTATGAGACGAAAGAAGTCTGTGTCTACGAGCACTTCTAAAGTTGAAAAAGCTGATAACAAGTAAGTACTAGTTATTCGTGCATCGTATTATAAAGCAGAAGTAACGAACTTTTTTGTTACCGCGTACCAAAAAATGAATTAATACTGAAAAAGACCTCACATTTTTTTAAAACACTCTATATTTTATTTCATATAATTCTTAAATGTAAACATACAGCATGAAAACAATTACATATGGATTTATATATATTATATAAAACTTATATAAAACGAATGTAACTTACCTTTCAGAGAGGGTTCGGCAGAAGAGTTTTTTATTGACGTAATACTACAACGTCATGCACGTCGATTACTCTCGGCGAAACGACTTTCAGATTTAGGCAGATTCGCCGCCAGATTAGACTTTCATTTAGTTACATGGTTTGGCAGAGAACGCGATAGAGCAGCAAAAATTGATGATTATGTTGCAGCGCTAAAAGCAACGCATGAGGATTTTGCATTTGCTTATCCTGTGCTATCACTTCCATCTTTGCAAAGATTTAGAAGATCTAGCCTTACGTCTCTACGTTCAATAAGATCAGTTAGTCTAGAAAGTCCCGAAGATGAACCATTGAATTCAAGTTTTGCGGTTGATTTGCCTGATAGCGGTTACACTAGTTTACCAAGTGGACGACCACCTTACACAACATTAATTTCACCCGTTGCTAGCTTAGAAACCCAGTTTCCCACTGCTGAAACTAAGATGACAGCAAATATGTTGCACGGTATTTATATATTATTATGATACATTAATAAGTTTGTTGCCTATACAAATTTCTAAGATTTTTCTGTTTTTAAGCGAGTTTAGTATAATAAAGTATAAATTTTGTCCCGACATTTACAGATGCTAATAGTGTTCTTAGCGACAGTAGTACCATTTGGAGAGATGATACAGAATCTATTGTTGGAACTGGAGTTGGAACAGTATGCTGGGTTTCGCCAGAACCAGTAGAACAAACAGAAGTTCATAATATCTCACCTTGTGCACCGATAAGTCGGGCGGAAGTACAACTTAGATATCTTTTACAATTATTTCTGGAAGGTGGTTGTTTAGGATGGGCTGCGGTACTAGCAACTATTTTACGTGATGCACCTGCTATGGCTAGAACTATCAGAGCAGCTCATGCACCTATGCAAACGTTCGATTCTGTAATTAATTTAAGAGATGGTCTTCTTACGCTAACTAGATGGTCTCATTCTGAATGGTATGTATTACACGAACAAATGTAATTTTACAAAAAAAATATTTCAGATATAATAAAAAGAATTCTTTGATTTTCAGTTTGGGTTACAGACCATTTATGTCGGGCATCCAAGTACAAATTTCTTTGTTAAACAGACTAGTTGTAATTAAGCAACAGCAAGAACAAGAGCAGATCCCGGAGAGCCCTTCTCCAAGTCCAGCTCCATCAGCTGGCAGTAACCAACGAGGAAACTTAACTCGATCACGACACTCGTCTATTAGTCATGCTTCAACGACTGCTCCATTAGAAGAAGATCGATCCCACGAATTGTCACTAAATGTTGAAGAGGTAGCTTTTCGAAATAGTTATAGTAATCTCAATAGTGCGGAAAATACTTCTTCACAGTCTACATGTGTAATATCTTAAAAGCAATGATGTCTTCTAAAAACTCAGAGGTATTGTATTATAGATTTTAGTATTGATAAGTAGGTACAAAATTTTTTCAGAATTTTCCAGCTTTCTATGAAACTTGTTTTAATAGACTCAGTTGTGAATAGAATTCGAGTAATCACTGTTTGGTATTATAATTCTGTTTAAAATGATGCGGGGTAGATTTAGGAAATGCAAACCTCTAATTGAACGAATAAGTTATATATGTAATATAACGGGAGCTCTAATCGTTTTTTTATAGCGATATCAAATATATTAGTTAAATATTGTATAATAATTATGTACGCAATAATATCTTTAACAATTTTAACAGCGAAGATGAAATGTTACGAAATTAATATATCTCATTTTTAAGCATTTCTATATGTGTAAATATGCTACTAAAGTTGTAGAAAAGGTATCGTTGACATATTTTTACATTCACTCTTAAACTACTTAACAAGAAACAATAGAGTTTGAAAAATCTGCAAAACATGACTGATACTATTTCTTCCTTTCTTTGTAGACAATATACAAAAACAATGAATATTACACTATGAATGCAATTGGTATTAGTAGATTATAGATTTAATTACGAGAGGAAGAATAATAGTGGATTCTCATATTTTATATATTGCAATATCGCATCGACTGAATTGTGACTGCATTATGAGAAAATAGTTTGCACTAATTATCGTCAGTTTCACTATGAATTATTTATTTTAAAAGATTTTTCATGTGAAAATTAACATTGATAAACTATAGTTGTGTTTATGCAGTAGTGTATTAGATAAAATAACCGTCCTGCAATCCAGATTTTCGTTCAAATACAAGAAAAAATGTATGTTATACAATCAAATAAGAACAGATTACTATGTATACCTAATGTCAATAACTTTACGATTGATATTAATCAATTGATATAACAGATATTGGTTTTGTATCAAGGTATAGTATGCTGAATGATGTAGAATGAAAAGTAGACACTATTGGTGAATAATAGTTTGTATAATATAAATTTTTAAATGAGTAAATTAAAAACTGCTATTTCTATTTAAAAAGAATTATAAATGATGTAATATATGTTACTGGTTGGCCAAATTGCGTAAAAATTACTAAGAGACATTAATACTCATAAAATAAAACAAGCGTTTTAATAATTAATTTGCAAGTTAAAATTCCATTTGATTAAATTATGATTATAAAAGAATGATATACAGTAGATACAATTTATTTGAATATATTGGTAGACAAAATTATTTGAATAATAAAGATTCACCGATTTTTTTCCTAAATTTCTCAGATAATGTAAATCGATATTTGCAAAATTGGCTTTAAAGATTTCATTTTATTCAAATTAGTATTTCAATACGACTAAATTTACAAGTAGGATTTTAAAAATTGTAATCTGTTGTTACTTTATGAAGTAATTATCTATTTACTAATCCATGGTGTATATGACTAATAATTTGTTCTTGATTTAAGTTTATATTTGAGCACAAGTGTTCATATAATTGGGGTATTTCTTACCAATAGTTCAGATAAATGTAGTCCTCCTGTATTATAGCAAATAAAAAAATGGTATTAAATTTTTGTAACTATATAAAAAATAAATATTACTATGTAATGAACATAGATTATTACATAGAGGTAACATAGAGGTTACATAGAGGTTACATAGAGGTAGAGATATTACATAAAGAGGTAAAAACAATATTTATTTAATATCTTGTATAGATAATGTTTATTCGATTTGTTAATTTTTCAATTTTAATTTTGTGCTGTTTGTTATTTTTAATTTCAGTACTTTTAATTTAAGTATGATAATATTTCAATAATCAAAAACGAAAATTAGCTGATTACAGACAGTCAAAAACAATAATCAAAATTACTTATAAGCATCTATATCAGATTAATATAAACTTAAGAATATTAATTGGGGAAATGGTTCATAGAGAAACAAAATGTATGCCTAAGTAGTGATAATTGTAGATTCATTGTTTCACAGTTTCTTAATATTTAAGAAACTAGTTAGTACTGCCCCTTTTATACGTAGCATTGAAATTAATTAATTGAACATAATGGACAACCTTATTTCAACTTGTTCAGTAATTAAACTCAGTTTCAAGGAATCTAGCAATGGAGGTTCACTGTGGTCTTGTATAACAATAATACTAATTAATTCATAGAGAAAACTGTGGAACACTAATAATAAACTATTTATACATATATTGTAACATAGATATTCCGAAATATATATTTTCCCATAAATAAGTTATCAGGTGTTTTTTTTTTCTTAATTTATAAACTTAAAAGAAAGATGTTTTTGGTTATTTATATAATTATAATTACACCTTACATCAGCGAGTTCCAAAGTTTTTGGAAAGAAACTCACTGAAATAATAAGAAAATTGCTACACCCAAAAATGAGCTGTATTTTTAAAATAATTCAAAGGAATTATAATTCTACAGTTGTCAAATTCTGATAATTTATTAATAGAAAAAGATGTTTGAATTATTCGCATTTTTCTATATATAAGAAGTATTACACCTCTTTCTCTGTCTCTTGAATTATAAGATATTTTGTACAAACTGAAAAAAACTACCAAATACTACCGCGTAATACTGAAACAGCGTTAAGCGGGGTCTTACTGTATGTGTATATGTACATAATTTTTACTTACATGAAATTTACATAAATTTATTCGTTATCTGTTTGTACATCTAATTGGCTTTTCTATCGTGATCGTACCTTCTTCTGTTCGCCTACAATTAAGTTGTGCAACTTTACAATACACTGTATGCTTTGTTCCTTTTCCTCTTGCAAATCAATAGACTCTTAATCAAGACTTTTCTCATTATTAAACTCCAACATTTGTATTCAATTTAAAAAGAAACAGATCAGATAAACACATATAACATATTCATTTACATATGCAAGACTATTATAATACATACTCTTTTATAATACTATACTGACAATATATAAATTACAGGAGTTTCGTAATGATGGAAAACTTTGCAATTTAATGTGAAATAATTAAAAACATGTTTACTTATAATATAACACATTTATTTTTATTTTCTCATATAATGTACATTTTAACAGCACGTACTATGTGCTTATCCATTAACCATAATAATACAACAGTATAACGTATATGATTTATTATTGTGGTATTAGTAAGAACATGGTAAGCAATAAAAAAGAAACTTACATTTAGATTCAATGGCAAAGTTGTAGGATAAATATTATAGTATTGTATATTTATAGATAACGTATAAAAAAAATATCAGGTACTTTCTGGATAACATGGTACAAATACTGTATTCTCATTTTTTTTCTCATGAATTTATTGAAATCTATAATTTAATAAATTTGTTGTGCTTTAATAGCGCATTACTGAGTTCTAATAAATCAAGTAATATAAAAACATTTTTTTTTACAATACGTTATACGTATGAACAAAAATCTAAATAACTCAGTACATTTTTTATCTACACCCAATTTCTTTAATATTATATTCATGCAACAAAATTGCATAATAAAAACGGTAATAAGAAAAAGTCTATTTTTGAGTATATACATGTAGATTCTATTTCTATTCTCATTGTGCATTCCAAACCTGGCAATTTTGTATTATTTGAAATAGAATTGCGTTATATTATTTCATGAAATAACTTTGTAGATACTGTTTCTGCATTTGGAATAATAAACAAAATACTCTTGAAAATAACCGACGTTCCAAAAATATAATGAAATTACATTTGTATCATTACAATGGCAAATGTTAATGATTTAAAAGAAAAAGAGAAAAAAGTAGTGTAATAAATATATTTTACTGATATTTTGCATATCTTTATCGAAGTACGTATATCATAGATTTAAATAACCAAGTATTTGTGATTATTCCTAAATAACATTGCAAAAAATAGGAGATTTAAATGTTATTTCAAACAGTTATTTATTATTTTTATTTCAAATGAAATTCGCCAGATTTGGTACGTTCTCGACTTAACTTTCGATAAAATAGTGACTTGAACAAGGCTTGCTTGTCGTTTATATCATAGCTTTTTCGATGATATGGACGTGTTCACGCAGATTCTGAATCGATCATTACTAGTGATATAACATTATGTATTTTACAAATGAATTTTAACCGGCCAATATTTGAGTTTTGGCCGATTCTTGCAGAGTACAGTAAAGTCTCCATAAATGCACAAATTTCTCTACGATAAATACACAGGCACCATCCCCACCACTGGTACTGGGGGGTATACCGCTTGAGGGGTCAAGGAGTTCGATTGCCGAGTAGTGTAATATGATCTGGGATCGGATATCTCGGTAAGACAATGCTAATGCAACGATAAAACTTTTTTTATTATCAACTTTTTTGTTATAAAACTTTTACCATCATGTTCCTGACATTTTTCTGATTCAAATGAGACCAAACACGACGTAATTCGCAACATATTTATTTGCAACAACTTATTATATATCATATGTCGTAGAACATTAACGAAAAAAAAAAAAAAAAAAATGCATGGTAAACATCGACCGAATTATATCGTGTTTGGTCTCATTTTAATGTCAGGAATATGATGGTACAAGTTTTACAATACAAAAATTAATAAAAAAAAAAAAAGTTTCACCGTTGCATTACATTGTCTCATCGACATACCTTGGTGTTTTCGCTCCGTCCTCTTCTTTTATTCGCTGTCCTTCTCTACGTTCGAAGGTTACCGGCAAACATCAGAGAATGTACGAAGTCTACCATACATGCATTAGTTCAGTCCCGAGTTTGTGCATTTATGGACCCTTTACTGTAATACGTTTCTGACGAGAGTATTGGAATAACATCGAACTAAACATTCAGTGTTCGAAACAATCAAATTACATTATGACTTTTAAAATACTTTTATTACAACAATAATTATTATAACATGAAATTTCACGATTATAAATGTTTGTATCGAAGAATGTCTGACGAGGTAAACAATATTTACAAAGGAATTCGTCGAAACATTGACTGTAGAAACTTCACAAAAGAATTCAGACAACATAAAGATATTGAAATAGATTTGATACAATTTTTAAAAATTAATTTCATTAACAAATTTTTCCAAAGAAATTACACATCAGTAAGGTGAACCAACAATATAAATACCTAAATTCAGCTAAAATCTTTTTATAGAAATGACGAACTTTGGTGGCGTATCATTTTATCGGTGAAAATGAATTTAATCTACATCTGTATTTTATGGATGTAATGATAAGTTTATTCGTTATTTACGAATAACGAATAATTCAACGAATAAGTAAGAGATATTGAGCAATAATGTTATTTTGAATTTTTAAAAGTACCTCACCATGGCTAAAAGGGTGATACCTATAGCAGAATGTGGTGTAAAACATTCTCTGGCCGTTCTTCTCCGCAAAGAAAGGATTTGATATTTGAACAGAAAGTATAACAAATTCGACTCCGTTTTCCGTATCCAATGTGTTAACTCTTTGCGGTTCAGATTATTCAATTTTAGTACATTTTTGTTAAGCCTCGCTCGACGTTGGTTGCGGAAGGGGTTAAGAACAAAACGTTTGATTCGAAAGCGTGTGAATACTTTCGTGAGTCGCTGCATATAAAAAAGTATTCAGCGTCGAAAAGATTAAATACGCATATGCGTATTTAGGGTGTTTGTTGTTTTCTTCTAACGGAAGACGTTTTATAGTCGCAACAGTAGACGTTACAAGTGAAGAATGAAATGATAGATACCGTTCGAGGTAAATACAATCACAATGGAACTTTCTTAACAATGGCATCAATAATTGTTGCTATTCTATAGATTATACACAGTTTGGATTGTACAGTAGCTGCTACACATAAATTGTGTTCGTGTGTGGCTGTGGTTGCGCCAATCCTGAAAGAGGTAGATTCGATTACAATTATTTCAATCTAATAACTAAGTACCTAATAATAATACGCACGATTTATGTACAGAGCACATTATCTACCGACAATAATTATTAATCATAATTATACGGCGTGATTAATTCGTTTGTTTTTAACGGTAGAAAAAAAATCGAATGTGAGGCACGTTATCATGGCGCCGATGACTTTTGTTCGATGGAAGTGTAGAATAGATATGAAGGTTTGAGAAAGTATAAAGTAGTTATGTAAGTCAGAGGAGGTGTAAAGTAGATATGGAAGTCGATAATATTTTTTTAAATGGAATTGTATAGTTTCTTATTCCCAATCTTTGCCAACGCTGCGAAATCTGACGATCTGACGAGATTTTGTAATTAGGAAACGTTGTTGCGCTAGTGTAGCACAATCCGGCACAATCAAAGAAAATTCAGAAATATCATAATTTTTAATCATCGCCACCTTTTTTTGTTAATTTTTATTGACCCTCGAGCTAATCTCAATTTTTAATGCACGTGTCTCGTGTATCGTAAGTAGCACAATTTAGCACAACTTGCAAAATTCGATAATCCGTCGCCGTTCGCAAATTGTGCGAATATTAAATTTTTTATTCCTTAAAATTCAACATTTTTTATTTCCGAAATGAATAGAAATACCGAGTTTCGCAAAAGTGCGGGGCTAGTATATTTTTGATTTTATTTCTTTTCTTAATTGTTATCGATGTTATCGATCTCTTATTTACGGTACAATTCAGCACAAATATAGCAGAATATGGCACAAAAAAGAAAAACTCAAAATTCGAAAAGTGCGGGGCTATCAAAAATTTTGTTTCGTTCTATTTTCTTGAGCACGCTTAGACTTACAGAATTGCGGTTTACGGCACAAATGTAGCACAATGTAACACAATTTAAAAAATCAAAAATTCGAAAAGTACGGGGCTAACTTCACACGCATACATATTTTTTCTATTTCTCACTTCATCTTTAACATTTCAATTTTCTGCAACCATAAGCGGTTTAGGGCACCATCAACTCTGCACAAAATACTATACAGAGTTTTCCAAAAATGTTGTAACACCTTAAAAGAGAAAAGTGTTCAAAATGCCCGCCTCCTAAATCAAAACTTATCGGTTCTCTTGCGCCCGAAAACATTGATTTTTTGCTTTGTGAAATCGATCGTATTCCAATCTCTACACTATTTACTGGTACACCGAGGTTGATTTTGATTAAATAGTCTCTAAAAACGAAAATTCTATGGATGCTTGTTCAAAAACAATTATTCACCTCGCACTCAGACTCTACACACGGCTGGGAGAGGCTCGGGAGTATCACTAAAAAATACATCAATCTCGATGTCAAGTTAATTTTAAGGTGTCAAGTCGATTTTTGTTAAAAAATATCTATTTTCACCTAAAAACCCACGCTTTTCTGCATTTAAACGTAATTTTCTCCCTAAAATATCACCGTACAATTGTTTTTGACAATACCTTTCAAAAGCTGAGACTTCGAGGAAGTTTTCCCCGAAGAGTGTCCGCCAAACAACTATGTCTTTGAAACCGAAAAACGAATATAGAAAAAGTCAAATTTTTTGAAATTTTCACAATGTAAGGTTTGACCTAATTTTTCACTTGTTAAATCTACGTAATAAATTTTGGTTCGGCATCAGGGAGATGAGAAATTTAATGCTCTTTCGAATGGTATACTTAGTTTTAAGTTTGCACTGTAATTTGATGGAGTTGATGACTGTTTAAAGAGTGTCAAGTTGAAAACGCCGAAAAAATATTAAAAGTGAAAATTCTCGAGAATAAGGCGACACAAAGAAAATGTCTAAGAGTAATTTTTTGTTGGAAACTTGTTGTAGAATTGACACACTACGTATGTCCGAACTTCTACTACGTAGACACCCTGTATAATATAAAAATTATTTAAAGTCATTTACTATGCACAATGTATAGTAACTATGTTAATGTATAAACTACTTGTTCTCTGTAATTACCATGTTCATTTTAGGGGAGGCATCTCCGATGACCTTGACCTTGACATATTGTTATCAAGGACACTATTTTGAACGACTTTGCTTTGTACTTTATCCGTCCCTCCGCCTTAACCTTAGCCTTCAAGTGCATTTATCACACTCCCCGATGCGAGTTGGGGATTATATAAAATCACCGGTGAATTTCATAAATATTCCCGAATTTATCACATTCACCAACCTTATTGGGGATTATGCATAATCCCCAGTTTATCACATTCACCGTAACATATACATATTAGGTGGACTGCAAAGTAATGTCGTTTCTTTTACATTAAATTCAAACAAATTTTTTATAAATTTCTATTTTTAATTATTAATTGTATAATCGCTCCTGTTATCAATGGCCTTTTGCCATCTATTGTGATAAAAATCAATGAGCTGATGAACGATAACCTAGTATTTAAAATTGCAAAAACGACATTATTTTCCGGCTCACTTAATATATCGAATCACTGACTTAAATGGGGCTCTACTATTTTATTAGTCCCGGGCCTCGTCAAACGTAAATCCGGCGCTGGCTTTGTCGGTAACGAACATACCATTGTAACGAAAATTGTCATCATCACATAGGATTGTAAAATTCACATTACAAGTCGGAATTTTCTAATCATACTACCAAGTTAAAACAACATCAACATTATTCTCGTTCAGTTTCAATAATTGGTATATCTCTACATTGCATCATTTCACATATTTCAGAATATATTATTCTTTGGTTTTACCTTAAATTTTAAACGTATAAGGGTATAGCCCTGTTATGGGGGTAAAAATTTCGATTTCGATTTGCGATGATATATGTATTCGACAGGTTATATCAGAAAAGACTACTCTGTGCCAAGTTTCAAGTCCCAATCTCGACTGGTGGAGGGGTAAACACTAAACAGGAACAAATAAATATCGCGTTTTTCACCAATTTCTCGAATGTTTAAATAAATGATTACTTTCAGATGTACGATCTTCTTGTTCCGTATTGTAGCTACCGTAATTCTATATTCATATATTTATAATCACCTGTTGCATTAACTGGAATCGGATAGTTTGGCTGTTGATGAGTTACTTGTACGACGGGTACTTGTACGTCTGGAACAGATATTCCCATTAAGTGGACTTAACATTTAAGATTAATATTTCATTCGGTACAATCAACAAACGATCAACAGAAAAAATATCAAGAAGGAAAGATAAGTCTTAACGTAATTTTAAGTATTCTTAATTTTAGAATAAAACAATACATTACTCGATAATAAAAGATATTAGTTCGCTTTTGTTTATATTTTGATTTGGGGCTATCTTTTGATTTTCCATTTTTTTTATAGACAATTATTTCTTTCAAACTCTTTTATTTTTTCATTCTCTTTCATATAAAAAAGACCTATCCATAGAAAAATTTTTCATTGCAATTTTCGAGTTTAGCAGGCCAAAATATATAAGAAAGAAATTGTGGCATTGAATGTACATTCTTTTATTTTATTTTGTAAACTGGTAAACTAAATTATAATTTAAATAGGCCAAAAAGTAGAGAATAGAAAATGTTCCCTTACAATTGGGAACGATGTTCCCTACCAAATTCCCTGTAAAATCCCTACCAAATTCTGCTTTGGTTATAAGCTGTATTCAATTTATAACAAGTAACCAATTGGATAATTATTTTTATTACATTATTATTATCAAATTTTGTTTTGGTTATAAACTAAATATAGATCTAACTATAGGTATAACTAATTATTCCACTGCACCAATGTGTATGTGAAAGTATTGAAAAAAAAACATTTTAAATATCGTATTATTTACAAGAATATATGTATAGACTCCTGGTAGAGTAAGGTTTATGACATAGAGGGGTATATTTTATTATAGGGTGATGTGCCGTTTTATTTTTACGTTACCGGCGCAATGTGTGCTAATAATAACGTCAACTACAAAAATAATATTACTCTTATCGCAGTAATGGGAAAGAAATGTTTGCTCGCAATTAACCATTAAAAAGGTATTTATTTTGCAAAAAGTTACAATAGAAAGCGCTTATTAAATTTACATTTTTACATAATGTTCGTAGGCGTTTCGTGTTATATCGTTAGTAAATTCGTAAATAAAAATAATTGATCACAAATATTATTGATACAATACACCTATCCCCCCATTTACACGGTGTCTTTTTTTTTTAACACTTTGAATGCCAGACAAATATTCGTGAAAATATGTATGAAGCTAAAATATTGTTCTTATATAATTGGAAAATATATAATCCAACATTTGGGATAGTATTATTTTTACGATAAAAATTCACGAATCCTAACCAGATTTCTTTTCTTTAACACCTGATCTTCAGATTTAATTGTCACCCATATATTTTCAATGTAACAGATGACCAAAAATAAGAACTGTGAAGACAAAAAATTATACGCAGCATAAAATGTACAGTAATTCTTTAATACCGTTTGTGTTAACACTGACAATAAACTTAAGAAGAGGAATTTCTCTCTGTTGCACACACAAAGGTATATGTATATGTATATCGTTGTTCTGTTTCAAATCGAACATATTTAAAACATCATACTTAAAGATTAGTGTAAATAATTACTGCTTTTTTACTGGTTACAGTTTTAGGTAAGTTGAAAGAAATTGAAAAAAAAGCTATCTTTAGAAATCAAAATTAAGATTATAAAATATAGCTTCATGTCTTTATTATTTCATGAACGGACTAATATTTTTTCTCTTTTGTATTTTACGTTGAAATAATTGAATTCAATTAAATAATCGAGTAAATTATGATTTATATGGTTTTTATACTGACTTCTATGTAAATTGGAGAATAGGTGTACTTTCAATGCGTGTGTATCGATGTAAAGAGGCATACAAAATGATATGTTTGTAAGTGGAAGTCGGTTGCTTTCGTATTAGGAATACTGTCATAAAAAAAGTAGGATCTTGAAATTTCCAAACACGGAAATATTCCATACGCATGCCCCTAAGTAGCCGTTTAATAACTAAACGAAACACATCTATATTTACACTATATAACTATGTGTTATGTATATGCTCAGAATCGCGAATCTCATCTCGCTAACGGAAGATATTTAAAAAAAATCGTTTCTATTCATTTATTAATGTAATAAACACACATTCGTGTGACAAGCGTATCTATCCTATTTTTCCTAATCGTTTTAAATTAATAACATATTTCTTATACAATACACGAAACAGAAAAAAAGACGAAAAAAAAAGGAAACAAAAATGTAACATACTTTTAGTACAAAAATTGATCGTGGAATGTTGCTCACCCTTTCGCTTATCATACATCAAATCATTTATCAACTTATCATTGTAACTAATCACAATTAAGTTCGACTGCCATTTTTAAGTATGCAAAAGTCAAACACAAACGCGTAAAGGCATTCGCGTAAAAAAGTCATGGATCATCGCAGTGCTAATGCAATAATTCGTTTGTATTAGGTTTTCCTAGTATACTGATTTCGTGCGGTGAAAAATATTTTTTTTTTTGAACGCATTCATCTACCTCGTATCTTATCGTTATTTCGTAGTAGGAAGCAGTTCGATTATTATACTTCTATGGTTCCGAAGAAAACATAATACGGTGTAGGTAGTATCTCTGTGAATGGAATATTTAATGTGTTTGCGATACAAGTCGATGGAGTGATCAGTTATCGATAGTAAAAATATCAAAGAATATCTATCCTGAAGCTAAACGTGTGGAAGATATTTAGTTTTTATAAAAGCATTAAAACTATTTAACGATTGTTTACAGTCGACGTGATCCAACGAATAACAGCATAGCAGTCCAGAGAATACAATTCTGATGTTTTGGTAGATGACCATTATTGAAATTATTAACCTTGGGATAGATATACCTTGGCTCTTTTAAATTAAAAATTAGACGTAATGTTTAGTCACGTAGTTCCATGCAAGAATAATTATACGAATCATTTGAAAAATATATATACTTTAAGATAGAATTACAGGAAATATTGTGTGTAAAGTAATGTCAGAAGACTGGAAGGTGTGTTGAAATGGAATCAGGCCGGGGTTGGTCCTATAAAGAATTATAATACGGTCAAATTGGCTATTGCTATGCCACGAGACCTGGGCATATTTTCATTGAAATGAAAAATAAGAAATAAGTATTTGAAATAATTCATTTCGAACCGTTGTTTTCGATGTAGTTATTTGAAAATAAAAATAATATCAATTCATTGGAAGTAATAGCTATTTCAAATAACGAATTATTTCGTTATTGTTGTATTAAAAATTTAACAAAAGAAATAATCCTCAATATGCAACAAAAACACTTTATTTTAGGAAATCTTCGCAGTAATTTGCTTTGAGCACAATTCTTTCTTTAAAAAGTTCATTTATAAGGAATTATTGTCTGTCTCCATCTAATGTCGTCACAAAAGAAAATACATAATTGTTCCACTCGTGTTGACGATGGAAAAGAGGTGTTATACTTTTAAAGAAACGTATCTTATAATCGCATAATCATTTAATATAGATGATTTTATCTTGCAAAAATGTTAATACATTTATTTCTTCTCTAGTTCGGATAAGAAACGTTGAACTGTTTGCTATTTCATCTTCGTCGTTTTTAAATAAAAATTCATCATATGCTTGTGATTTCACCTTATATGATTTTGAAAAACAATTTCACAATTATTTCAAATAATATTATTTCAAAAATTATCACAAGTATAAAAATAATTACAAAGTAAAATAACATGTTATTTGAAATGATATTTCGAATAGTGTTATTTTAAAAGTGCCCAGGTCTGTTTCTCACATGTAATCATAACATTAACACTTAAATTTCTTTTAAAGAATTAAAGAGAATTATGGCGTTCAGACTTAATTTCTGCATCAACTTGACCTTTCTAAGATCTCTGTAGGCTTAATCAGTTACTACATATAAATTTACACTGTACATGTACGTGAGCATATACGTCTACATACATATATACTTTTATAAATAACGACAGTAAGGCTAAGAATTATATCATGCATGCATGAAACACAGCAATAAGTTGAGGATTTAAAAGAAGTATAACTGTGTACTCTAGTTGATACAAAAATTTATGGCAAATATCTCTCAATAACATTAACACTTTCACCTTTTTCAATGGTTATGATAAAACAGTTCTTCATGCACAATGTTCCTCTCCATTATGTTAAATTATAGTCGATTCTTTAAAAATTATGTAAGCTAATTAATTGACGCTTAACAAATTGTTACCGAAAGGGATCCGAAGTAACTATAGACATGTATGATATTTATTAAAGTTAAATAAGTGCTCATAGCACTAACTTCTTTATTTACTTGATTTTCAATCAAGACAAGCAAACATCATTACTAACTTTTTATTAAAGAGTTTCGTCGCACAATTTTTGGTTTAACTAATGCTCAATAGTTAATTACGAAAAGAGAAGAGGGCTTTTTAATTATTTAATTAACTTATTCTAAACATACAGAAAGATATGAGCTTTTAGTTTACATGGTTTTCTGTGTCCAGGAAAATTCAAGAATTTTTGTTAAATCTCCAACTTTATGTAAATACTTGTGTACCTATATACTCTAATACTTTCTTTTTACATAAATATATCTATCAAACGAAAGCGCATTTATTTTTACATTTTTTGACCATGTTTCGTTAAAAGTTATAACGAATTGAATAGTTCTTTTCTTCTTCTTTTTTTTTTTTAACAATTGTTTAGCAATAGTAAGACCAAAAATTAATAACTACAACGAACCTCGTCCATCTTGTAAAATTTGAGAAAAGTCACTATTACGTCAATAAATATCTCCGAATGCTTAAGCCTTTCTTTTCTTCAAAAATCTTTGAAAGTGCAAAATTCTAACTAACATAATTTCATACTTCGCATCTTTTCCATACAATGTCTCTTTAGATTAATGCTTAATAAATTTTTTGAATTAAAGGATGGAATTAAAAAAAATAATTAAAAAAAAAAGTACAAACTAAAATGGATAAGTAACTAATATTCATGAGTTATGAACTAAAAAGGTAATTAGTAATGAAACAGTATAATATAAGTTGATGAACTGAATACGTTAATTACAATAAGTGAAGCTGAATTATTCATGAAATTTTAAATTCGGTAGTTAATTTCTTAGAAAATAAAGTTTGAATGACTTAATAACTATTTCATTAATATAATTAATATAAAATATGCTTACAATTGGTACTTTAAAGAAAATATTATTTTGGAATAAATTAATGAATATTGATTTATGCCGCCGATGAAAAGTATTAAACAAAATTTAATATTATTGTGAAACTTATATAAATCAACACTTACGTCCATAAACTGTTCCCCGCTGACATCTGCGTCGCCGACAGAAAATGAAGCACAAACATGATATGCACAATGCAATTAGTGCAAGCACTATGCCAACTACGATAATCACTGTGGTAACGACCCTGTAATACAATATTTGAAATTTTTAGAGGAACGATAAGTAAACGGCTTATTCCTTACAAATCTAATCAAAGAAAAATCTTTAGGAAAGTTTTTATGCAAGAGATTTTCAAATAAAATAACATATCGAAATATGATTTATGAACGAATATCATGATTTAATATTTAATTTTATTAACACTGTTCAAACCTATAGGGAGTAATCATATTTTCAAAGCATGGAAAAGAGTCAACTATCTTTTTATAACTTAAGGGGGCATGTTAGTCTAGATGGACAAAAAATCAATTTTTTTTTATTGTATATTTTAGAAATTTGAAGTTTTGAGAATATTTGCTAAAAAATTTCCAATCAAAATTTGGAAAAATGATGGAGATACGGAACACTAAAATGGAAGTAAATCGGAGCGCGTGGGACATAGCTGCTGCGGCAAATATCGAATACCGTTTTACAGACATTTTCTAAACAATAATGTGATATTCGATCGATCCAGGACGAGAAAGTAAAATTACTAATGAAATGATGCATCTGCTGTCGAGGGTATCTTATATGACCTTAGAATAGATGATTAACAGTATAATATAAATTTCTATTTTTATTCCTAAGACAATACGTTCTCAAACTTTAAACAAGTTTGTTAGGGAGAACTCTTACGAGTTGATTATGCCGGTAATCGACAATTCAACATAATTAAGGAATTAAAGAAACGCATTGCGTTTGTCTAGGACAGACTTCCACAAAAGAAAATACAAAATTTGTATAAATTGTTGTCGAATCGAATGGTGGAGCTCATACAAAATAAAAAATGTTTAATACATTATTAAATATATAAACAATGTCGTCTCGTTTGTTATTTTTTTCGGAAACATCAATTGTTTTACTAGTTAATTCAAGTGTGCTATCGTTTCGTCTGTCTCAAATACAACAATTATTAGGTGGACTGTAAAGTAATGCCGTTTTTGCAATTTTAAATACTTGTTTATTATTCATCAGCTCTTTGATTTTTATCGATCTGGCATTGAAAATTTGCACACTAGATGACAAAAGACTGTTGGTAACGAGGGTGATTATATAATTAATTGAAAATAGAAATTTATTAAAAACTTATTTGATTTTAATGTAAAAGAAACGACATAACTTTCCAATCTACCTAATATAATACGAACCAAAAGGGACACCTATTATTTTCGTGTGTCATACATTTTATTATGTTATTTAAGTAAAATGTATATAACATTAAATATATATTAAAGTTTGAAATTAAATATAAAAATTCATGAAATTTATAGCTGTGCTGTATTTTTGTCTGGGAGTGTAGTATCTATGTATTCGTTAAAAGTTTTTTCTCTTTAAAAAAGAAAAAGTTAGAAGGGGTTACTGTAACATATACTAATAGTAATATATTCATAATTAAAAGTATTACCATGATGCTTGAAAAGCAAATTCCTTCTGGGTACAGCAATAGGGCTTATCGTTCTCAATATCAAAGCAACAGTACGCCTTGTCTGAGGACTGCAAGAATCCTGGACAGCTATACATTATCTTTTCCAATAAGTTATCGCTTCCGAACGTGCAATCCATTCCTAGAATAATGATATATCTCATGTTAGAACATTATCATTTTTTAAAGTGTTTAAACTGTTTATTTATAGTGACCAACTGTTGGATCGTTCGTTAAAATTTGTTTATGACAGGGTGTCTACGTATAAGTTCGGACATACGCAGGGTGTCAATTCTACAACAAATTTCCAACAAAAAATTACTCTTAGACATTTTCTTTGTGTCGCCTTATTTTCGAGAATTTTCACTTTTAATATTTTTTATGTGTTTTCGACTTGACACTTTTTAAACGGCCATCAACTCCACCAAATTACAGTGCAAACTTAAAACTAAGTATACCATTCGAAAGAGCATTAAATTTCTCATCTCCCTGATGCCGAACCAAAATTTATTACGTAGATTTAACAAATGAAAAATTAGGTCAAACTTTACATTGTGAAAATTTCAAAAAATTTGACTTCTTCTATATTCGTTTTTCGGTTTCAAAGACATAGTTGTTTGGCAGACACCTTTCGAGAAAGACTTCCTCGAAGTCTCAACTTTTGAAAGGTATTGTCAAAAAAAATTATACGGTGGTATTTCAGGGAGAAAAGAACGTTTAAATGCAAAAAACCGTGGGTTTTTAGGTGAAAATAGATATTTTTTAACAAAAACCGACTTGTTACTTTCAAATTAACGTGACATCGAGTTTGATGTATTTTTTAGTGACACTCCCGAGCCTCCCCAATTAAGAAAAAAACCGATTTTTTGACACTTCAAGCCTCTTCCAGCCGTGTGTAGAGTCTGAGTGCGAGGTGAATAATAATTATTTTTAAACATGTATCCATAGAATGTACGTTTTTAGAGACTATTTAATCTAAATCAACCTCGGTGTACCGATAAATAGTGTAGAGATTGGAACACGATCGATTTCACAAAGCAAAAAATCGATGTTTTCGGTGCAGGAGAACCGATAAATTTTGATTTAGGAGACGGACATTTTGAACACTTTTCTGCATTTAAACGTCATTTTCTCCCTAAAATACCACCGTACAATTTTTTTTAACAATACCATTCAAAAGCTGAGACTTCGAGGTAGTTTTTCCCGAAGAGTGTCCGCCAAATAACTATGGATTTAAAACCAAAAAACAAATACAGAAAAAGTCGAATTTTTCAAACTTTTCACAATGTAAAGTTTGACCTAATTTTTCACTTGTTAAATCTATGTAACAAATTTTGGTTTTATATCCGGGAGTTGGGAAATTTAACGCTCTTTCGAATGGTATATTTAGTTTTAAAATTGACACCCTGCGTATGTCCGAACTTATACGTAGACACCCTGTAGAACGGAGCCGATATAGTTCGTCGGTACGTTCAATTCGAAGAAACAGATAACGCTCCAATTGTACTTGGTACGTCTTCTTACACAGATTTGTACATTGTCTCTTATTTCCTATGTTCTTAAGTTTGTCTAACCGTACCTATAAAATAATGCTACAATAATCTTATATCAAATTACATTACTAACGCAAATATTATTTTTTAAACTACTATAGGAACAGCTATCGTTTTCGGAGATCCTGAATTAGGAGGTCTAAAAAAAAGCGGTTTTTCGTGAATTTTTTTAGGACGGACAAAAATAATTAATTGTATCGAACTATTTATCCTATTTTCATACATATTTGAGTAGTCTGTAGAAATTTTTTCAACAAGAAATATTCAAGTTTGGTTCACTGTGACGCACATTTGTAGAGCACCTCACAATTAAAACCTCCTATCGGCGGGAAAGATACAGATCGTAATTTTGGTTTGACACGAAAAAACCAAAAGGAAAAATTGATTTTCATACATTTTTCTTCTATATAAACTAAGAAAATTCATACACAAAAAGTTTTAAACAATATTTTTATCAAGTTAAAGTGATTTCTTTCACCCAAAGAACTCGTTCTTTTTTTCAAACTTGCAGTAATTTCACATTTCACCAGTTTTGCGGGCTTTTCTTAGTTCCCATAGAAGAAAAATGTATGAAAATGAAAATTTCTTTTGGTTTTTTTTGTGTCAAACCAAAATTACGACCTGCATCTTTCCCGCCGATAGGAGGTTTTAATTGCGAGGTGCTCTACAAATGTGCGTCGCAGTCGACTCAATTTGAATATCTCTTGTTGAAAAAATTTGTACAGACTACTCGAATATGTATGAAAATAGGATAAAAAGTTCGATAGGATTAATTATTTTTTCCATCCTAAAGAAATTCACGTAAAACCGCTTTTTTTTAGATTTCCTTAATTCAGGATACCCCCTTAATACTTATTTCGAAGATGGTTCGATATCCTAAGAAGAAGACGACGAAATGTAAAATATACGTAAGTTCCGTTATCATCACATTCATATTTTGAATGTATTTTTTACAACTTTTCCATCGTTTCTCGGGAAAGTGATACCGACATTTTTTGTTCTTTGGGAGACACTCTAAAAGATCCTGCATGAATTGTTCATTTCCAGGCAATGCCAAAAATGGGCATTTCTTAACACCCTCCTTTCTGTAAAACCAAAAATCTCTACTTCGAAAAGAAACATCTACAAACATTCGCGACTCAACGAATTATTATTGCAATTTATAATTAGCTGTATTCTGATGTAAGTAAAATTGAAATTATACATTCAATAAAATAATTTTATGGAAAAAAAATTTAACCGACTTCAAAAAAGGTACAGTGAAAAGTATGAAATAATTTCTAGTTCATGTACATGAATACGCACTAGCTCTAGATATAATTGCTTAAAAGTATGGAAAAATGCAGTGAAAAGTGTGAAATAATTTCTATTTAAACTACATTGTTATTCACCATCGTTTAATGAATTTGGTTAAATTATTAAATACATCATATTAAATGCAAAGCACCTTTTTCCGAGGCGGCGCAAAATTTAAAATTAAGTATATTCATAATTGCCAAACTTGGTTTAATTTTCTGTCGGAGAAACAAAAAGTATGGTCTTTAATTATTGCTATCATTACATCCACTTTAGACATCATATTCATTAACACTATTCAATATCACTGCCTCTACCAAATACTATCCCAAACCTATTCAGACAGTATTTCCATGGGTAGAGTATACAGGGTGTCGTTGAATTAGTGTAAGAACCGGAAATGGGAGGTAGCTGAGAAAATTCTGAACACAATTTCCTTTGCGGATAGTGCGTCGTTTTCATTAATAATTTGATACCATTCGAAATTTTTGCAAACGAGATCGTAGTTCAGAATCGTCTCAGCTATCCCCAAAATTAAATATTATTAAGCTTGGTTTAACTTTCTGTTCGAGGAACAAAAAATATGACCTATAATTATTGCTATTACTATATCCGCTTTAGACATCATATTCATTAACACTATTCAATATCGCCGCCCCCACCAAATACTATCCCAAACCTATTCATACAGTATTTCCATGGAGAGAGTTTATACATTAGCAGTAATCAATATTACCGCTCCTCCCCTCCAAAAAAGCCCCAAATCTACTCAAACTATATTTCCGTGTACATACTATATACATTAACAATTAATTCCATATAGACAATAAACATGTATACATTGACAGCATTCAATATTGCAGCCTGTACCAAAAGCTAACCCAAACCAGAATTAAAAATTTTTTACATCTGCGCAGCCTCCGAAAAAGGAGCATTGCATTTAATATGATGTATTTAATAATTTAACCAAATTCATCAAACGATGGTGAATAACAATGAAGTTTAAATAGAAATTATTTCACACTTTTCACTGCATTTTCCCATGCTTTTAAGCAATTATATCTAGAGCTAGTGCGTATTCATATACATTAACTAGAAATTATTTCATACTTTTCACTGTACCTTTTTTGAAGTCGGTTAAATTTTTTTTCCAAAAAATTATTTTATTTCACTCTTTTTAGTGGCAATCTATAACCAATAGGTTTCATGCAATAACAACAGTTATGAGCAATATACAGAATGACCCAAAAACGTTAGAGGTCCTTGAAAAGACTTGTTCCGCGGGGGAGGAGGGGTTGAAACAATTTTTCCTTAGCGAAAATGTTGCTCGAGCCTTCGTTAAGGAGATATTCCAGAAACAGAAACTGGTAGCATAGGCCCCGCATGCGCTCCTCCGGCATACTCGCGCTCTGATTGGTCGGGGGTTTCTGTCAATATCTCTTTAAAAAATTGTTTCAAATCCCCCCCCTCCGAAACACCCCATTCAAGGACATCCAACATTTTTTGGACACCCTGTGTAATTGCAAATGGGATTATCATAAATACATCTGCAACTACATGTGAAAGGATTGATTGCGTTTGGTAAATTCCTTGTCGAGCTGCACCAGAGCATAGCAATTTCGCACCAACAATGATTTTATAAACAATAAAAGTGTCCATAAATTTTTGCAAATGGGAACATCAGGAATTCATGTATCATGAAATACGGAAGGTTCCATCGCGCTCGATAATTTCCTCACCGAGGTACATCATATAATAGGAATTTTGCGATGACAATAGTTATAAGCAATACAGAAATTCATAAATTTTTGCATCTGTGATCATTGCGAAAACCTCTCCGGCAGCAAAATGTAAGGGATTTCATCGATTTCTTCGGTTTCAGGCCAAACATACGTGAAATAGTACGCTTTTTGCGATAAAAAGTGATATAAAGTGGTACAAAATAAGACAAGGACAAATGTTTTGCTATGGGACCAAATGGCAAATGCTCTTCCAGATGCAAGATGTTTCAATCTGATTGGTCCATCCGTCTCGGAGTAAGAAACAAGACAAAATGTTTCTGTTTAAAAAAAAAAACGGGTAAAAAATGACAAATCACAAAATATTTCTTTTACGTGACCAACTGGAAGAAATATTCGACAAGATGCAACAGGTTTCACTCCGATTCATCAAGCCATCTCGACGTACTCGTCAAGCATACCTAAAAATCACGGTTTTTTGATAAAAAGACGGATAAAAAATGACAAATCGCAAAAAGTCTTGACAGCAGGATCACCGGGGGAACATCCTCTAC